TATTTTAGATAAGTATCTGGATGCTGCATCCAGCTAATGATTTCTGAAGGAGAATGGATTGGAAGTTGAAAGTATTGCTTTTAACTTTTTTTTTTTTCCCAGGTCCTGAAATGCTAGACAGGCACTAGAGAAAGTGAAAAATGGAGCCAGGTTCTGTATTTCCTTCCATTGTGTCAAACAGCATTGCTGCTTCTACCTTGCATCTGTGGTGTAGCTTGTCATATATGGTGCACATGATTCTATTAACAGGTCTCCTGTAACTCGCTGTGTGTAAGGAACGCTTGCCAAAAGCCACCATGCCCTGAGCAGTGAAGGGAAAGAAAAAGTGCTCMTTTGTTGCATGCTTAGGGTATTCATGTGGGATGGACAAATGTTAAATCCCAGTTCTCTCTTCTTAACTTACATTTTGCATTAAGCTGGTGTCATTGGCCTATCTGAGGTACCAACCATCTGCATGTCATGTCCATAGTGTCCTCCCCATGTCCTGCAAAAATTTGTGATGAAGAAAGGAGACTTCTCTGGTAAATGTGCTTCAGCGCCGGTGAGGGTTCCTAATTAAGATGCTGCTAAGCTCTGGACCTTCTAAGTTGTTATGTGCATCCCTCGTTTGAAGGGGGCACTTTGCTTCTAAATTACCTTATTGGTGTTTGCAGGGATTTGCTGTAAAAGAGTCTCGCAGGCTGTTGGGTGCCCTTTCTAGAAATTCTGTTACTAAGGAGGAAGGCATCTAGAAAGCGTATCTTGGCTTTGCACGAGTTCAGCCCACCTTGAAATCTGCCAAACTTACCCTGTGCCAGTCGTGACAGCAGCGTAGCGTGAACTACAACAAAGCCCCCATTGCTAAATTGTTCAGTAGTCGTGGGCAAGCGTTTTTCAGCGTGTAGAGGAATGAGTGAGGCTTATTTATCTATCTAAATTGTTCTCGAGGGAAGGAGGAGGAATCTAGATTATTTTCTTTAGTTCCCTGGGGAGGAGGATAGTTTGATGTAAAACTGCTTTGATTTATGTAGTCATTATAACCTGATCACAATGAATAATGCAATATCACTTGCTCATAACACTAATGTTAAATGGATATTCTGGGAAACTAAAATTGTTCTGTTGCCAAGTACAGCTATATCTTTACAGACAACATGTGGACAACTTTGCTGTTTATTTTGTGAAGCCAGTGAACTAATCTACTTATGTACTTTTTAAATCACTTTAAACAAATTTCTAGTACAGCTTGAACTAAAGCAACTAAAGTTATTGTGCTTTTTTTTTTTATTACATAAAAAAAGGTAGAGAACATCCTGTGAGAAATTGCTTATGTTACTGACTTGTCCACTGGGTTCTCATAACTGCAGAAGTCAAGGTTTTGGCAGCAGCCCAGACTTTGTGAATGTCATCCCAAGCTCTGTGATAGTATTTTCATTTACTGCTTTTAGAAAGACAAATTTGCAGTTTATTTGACAACACTCCCAATAAATGAATGTCACTGTATATTTTTGTTTGTTTAGTTTTAGGGCAGAGAGCAGAAAAACAACACAATAAAATGGTTCAAGTTTCCCTAAAATCTTGCTTGTTGTTGGCAAGACAAATTTGCTAAATTATACTTTGTGCTATTATCCTTGACTTCTCTTTATCTGTGTTAAATGACAAACAAGTACAAGATGAGGTCCTTTAGTCCTTAAATGGAATAAGCTGGCTTGTCTATTTTTAAAAAATTACATGAGGAAATATGGCTTAGTTTTAATGCTGCCCTGCCTCCTGCCTAGCCCTTCCACTGACCTAMCATACAAAAACCAGCCTTACCTCCCAAATTTCTAAACTATGTTTGATATTTTTCTGGACATTCTTTTTAGATTAGTTTTTTAACCCAAATATAGAGGAGTGGAGAAAAATCAGCTTGAGCTGAACTGTAAATTCTGATTTTTATCACTTGGACTTGTGTGTTCTGTGCAGAATTTTCACGTAGTAAAGAATAAGATTTTCGGGCCTTTGAAATCTAGCTCTTTTTGATCACTTTGGAGGTGATAAGGCCTGATGTGGTGTTCTTCTTTGCCCGTGTCTGATTTTACAGTAGGTCCAGGATTCGGGCAGTCATGGAAAACAGCAAGGCTCTGGTTTGGCTGTCCTGCAAGAGTATTTCAAACCATCTGAACCACGAAACCCAAAAAAGTCAGAGGGAAATGTTTTCACTATACAAAGATAGGTGATGGCTTTGATGGCTTATTACAGATGAGAATAATAGCTCCTTGCCTTGCAGTGCATTTCCAGCCTCAGGAGAAGCGGTTGGAATAGCTGAGGAATCCTGACCGGTTTGGAAGATGTAGAATGGAGAGGCAGTGATCCAAATACTCACAKTGCATAACTCCTTTGAAGTTGCTTCTTCAACTTCAGTTGTGGTAATGACTTGCATCAGCTGATCTTAACAGCCRAAGATAGAATGGACTGATATGACATGACCTTGGACATGCATGTTGGATCACCTTGCTGGCTTTCAGATGATCCGTTTTGTACGGTCACGTTGTTGTTTCCCTCGACTTTTATGGTGTTGCTTGCTTGATGGGCTATTAGAAGCTGAAATTTTTCAGAGGAGATTCCAGGAAGTAGATGCTATTTTGTATGATAATTAAATTTGGGGTTAGGCTTCTCGGAAGGTCTTGCATTGAGTGCTTTGAAAGTTTTAGGAGGTGTTATGCAAACAACAGCTATTGCTCTTCTCTCTGCAGCACATCAGATCCTGATTTGCTCTTTGGCTTATCTAATCATTGTCAGTGCTTGGGGTGGAAGTAATTACAGCAGCGCTTTCAACTAATTCCTATTCATGGAGCAGCGTAGAAAATGTTGATTTGAGGAATAAGTGAGCTAAATATTCCTGACTGAATAGACACCTAGGAGCATTAGGGGCTGGTTCTTGTTAGAACTGTTTTGACAGCAGCATCAGTGTAAACAATTAATGTGTTATCTTCTGCTTGCGAAATATTGACATCTCAGACACACACTACATCACGATGACATCAAAGACCTAATTACTTGCTCTATGTGTAGCTCATACAGGCTCAGTGATTAGCTCTCTGTTCTTGGGTCTCACATTCTCTTCTGTGCATTGACTGGGCTTGCAGTGCTGCGAAACAGGAGCTACTAAATCTGACATTGCTACAGGTTTTTGTAGGTCCTTGTTAATCAGCTGTGGAGGAATACATCTTCTGATGAGAATGCCATTACTTAGATGCAGAAAAGAAGCTTGTTTTCCATGAACTCTGCTATGAGCAGCAGGGTATGTTTTTGTGGGGAGATAAGCTTCGGCCTCACTTATGTAGAAGTGCGATTTGTGTGTTCATTGTTCAGTCTAGGACAAAATAAGTAGTGGAGCTCCTTAAACAGACCATGCAGAAAACTAATGTGCTGATCATTAGCCTGGGGATTCCATAGGACAAGCTGATTAACTGAAATGGAGAAGGAAGTTCAGAGAAGGAACCTTTATGACCTGACTATCCTTCCTCCATTTTTTTTCAGGTTGTGATGAATAATGCACCTTCCTTTCTTCTCAGAAGCTTCAGTCTGAATGATCTTCAGCTAGTGGTGCCAGTATAATGAAGTATTCCAAATTTGAGAGGCCTTTTTGTTCTTTCCTCTTTTCTCCCCCGAACCAGAACTTCAAGTGCAGTATTTATTTTGGAGGCAATAAAATCCCAATGGCACCATTGTGCTCAAATGGAGCCTGATGTCAGTAGTGCCTGATGGTTTTTGGAAGGGTAATCACCCTTCCAAATGTACAAATAACTTGGATTTGTACTCAATCAGAGGCGGAGCAAAACTCTGTATTTTCTTATTAGTTTAGGATATCATTCTCCTGCTCTGCCCCTACCTGTCTGYGTGCTGCTGAGGTCAAGAGTGTGGCTACAGCTTTGAGTTACCTYCTGGCCTGAGGTGCTTCTGTGCCCAAATGTCTCATATATGTTCCCATTTTGTGGTTGTGCTTGTCCTAGGGCATACTGTGTAATACCTAATGCATTGCAAAAGGATTCTGTTCCCCTCTATGGACCTTTAATGCTTCAAGTTAAAAATGCAACTTTTTTGAAAAGCAAGAAGACTGAATAATCACACGGGAGACTCTCAGGAGGTTTTGGAAWACTTTTCATGTGGAATCTGATGAGGTAACCTAGGCTCAGCAACCAGGATTCACAGACAGAGGCAGAACTTTCTCAGTATAAGTTGGTGCATACTTGAAATTTTTTTTTTTTTTTTTTTGATTGTAAGGTTTCATTTTGGTCAGGGCTTAGTAATTCTCGAACAATTCAATTTAAGCTTTTGTATTTAACAGAACATGCTGTTGAGTGGCCAGGAAACTGGAAATTTGGATGAAAGTTTTGATGGATTCAGCTGCTCCCTGGCATCCAAAGAGCCTGTTAGTGTGCCAGATGCTTTTGCAGGCAAGTGGGCCAGGAATGTGAGTGCCCACATATGAGGCAGACCCTGAACGCACAATTCCAGTGGTCAGAATGGCCTTTGGTTCTGTGGTTAAACGATGTGGCTTTTCTGTTACCCAGTAATGTTTTTGTATTGATATCTGCCTATATGGGCATGTACGGTTCTATCTTTTCTGCTTGTCTAGTAGAAACCCTATTCCTACCTGCCTGCTCCAGTTTTCTTTGTATCTGCCTTATGCATGCAAAATTAGAATCATATCAATATCAAGTTAATTAAAATGGAAAGTATGTTACTCGAAGAAAGCTATTTCCTAGAAATCCTATATTTGCAAGCATACTGATTGTCTTTTTCTTTCTATAATCTTTTATGCAATCATTCTGTCTGCATAAAAATCTCTACCACTATCATAATTTAAAGGAAATGGGTTGTATCTAACTGTTAGCCTGACTTTTTTGAGTTCAAGCTACCAAGAGCCTTTAGTTGTAGCTCTGGAGCAAAAGCTGATTTATGAGGCTAACTTACATSCAAATACTAGAGATATTCAAGCCATTGGAGATGCCAAGTTTACTCTCTTCTGTCTCTAGATTTACCAGAGATGCTGGTTGGTGTTCAAAAAAGCTTCAAGCAAAGGGCCRAAGAGGCTGGAGAAGTTCTCAGATGAGCGTGCTGCTTACTTTAGATGCTATCACAAGGTAAGAATTGATTATATGCTTGTTTCTCAAAATTTGTTTTTACATACAATGSAAAATAAAAACTAAGTTGCCATGTATTGCTTGGGCTGAAAATTTGAACTTTATTTGTTCTCAAAGTACTAAACTCACTTGCATGTTTCTTCACTTGGAATTGTAGAGGCATCTCTTACCTCTTATGCTTTACTGCTAGTATATCTTGCTAAGCTAGTGGAACATGTCTCTAATATTTTTATAGAACAAGTCTTTTCCTTTCTTGAGCCTAATCCTTTTTGCTTTAGATCAGACCTGAAATACTTCAGAATGGTTACTTTTAGTCATAATTAGAATAATAACTGTCCGAGGTAACATGGCATGAATTTAGAAGGTTGGATACTTGAGACAAGTTGCTATTTTGCTAGGATTTTGCATCTGTGGGAGGACACTAGAGACTTGCAGAAATGGAGGGCAACATGAATCTTTTTGTACTTGCAAATTTTTCTTGGAGTGATGATGTGAAATCTTTGCTAAATTCACAATTTTTTAAAGAATATACCTTTCCTTCTAATAGCTTTACTGAAATTTTGTATGTTGTTCATATTCATCTGAGAATTTACACATATTATTCTCCTGGGCATGGAGATGAAAATAAAACATGCTAATTTATAATCATTGTTGGCAAAAGCTTTATACGTTACRTTAGGAGTTATGTGCATAAATTCCTGGGAATCAGCAAGCACAGCTCAGCTTGAGGCTGATCTATGCTTATATTCACTTTGACACATTTAGGAGGAGATCTGGAGGGAATACTGGATCTGAATTCTTGGATTAATCTGCCTACATGCCACAATTTGTAATTGATTGGTCCTAAAACCCTGTGGCTATTTGTACTGAATTATACTCAGAAATAGTCTGTCCAAACTTGAGGAATTTTCAAAAGTAGCAGGTCTTGGGTATGTCAAACTAAAATAAGGCATGCAAAATCATGGTTTCTAGCAGAAAGCTTATAATCCACCTGTATAAAATGGAGAGATCTTTCTGACACTGTATCATTCTGGCTATTGCAGGTGAGCCTGCAGATAACTTGGCAGCAGGATATTCATCTGTGGGASCTGATTCTCACGTTGTCGTCAGTGTTCGTTCTTTGCATCTGTCATTGCTCTCTGCAAGCTCTGTAACTGATGCAGTGAAGTATTGTGATTCGAGTTGTTTAAGCCCAATTATTGGGGTTGGTGGGCTGCCATTCACCTCAGTGCTGTTACTRTTTGGCAACGGGGCTCTGCAGCATCCCCAGTGCTTCACTGAGATGCAAACTGAGGCTCTTCCCTAGTTCTGCAGTGAATGACTCTAAAAGTTGACAGGTTCTGCTTATTTTTACTGAACATAACTGAGAGGAAGTTGAATATTAAATAGCACTTCTTGGCAAAAATGTGTTAACTCACAAAGAGAGAACATGTGGATAAAAGTGATTTTCATCTTCTCTTAACTAAGCTTTGTAAATGTGTGAAATTCAGAGGTGGTGAATGATGCAAATACTTCTAACAGTGTTATGCAACGAGGTGTTAAAAAAGAACCATGTGACACTGCTGTATACTTGAGCTGCTGCTTTTAAAAGCTGTGGCTGATAATTAAAGAACAACTTAATATGGCAGAGACTTCATCTAACAGCTTCTAGACATTTTTTCTGTGTGTGTGTGTATATATATATATATCATATGTGTGGGCCTGAGTACTTTAGAACCCATGGAGGAATAGCTGCTCCCTTCATCTGTATGCACCTGGCCAGGTGTTGTAGGAATGGCTTGGAGATGTGTAGTCTTTTTGTGACTATTCTAATTTGTCACTTTCTTGCAGTGTGACAGTGAGGTTAATTGTATAAATGAGAAGACCAGTCAGTCCTGTTAGCRTGTCAAGTGTCACTGTCAAAAGTTTCTGCTAGTGAACCTAAGGACAAATGTGGTGCAGCCTGATAAATGATGCTGTGGTAGAAAACCTTCCTTAGAGCTTCCTGATGTTTCAGAAAGGTGGTCACTGATCTCCTGGATGAGTTCTGAATCCTCGTTCTCCAGCTCTGGTGAGAACAGCTTTGGATTGAGAAAACTGAGGGGTCCCTGTTCACCTCATCTATCTCGGGAAAGTTTAAATTCATCACAGAAATGCAGAGCATGGGAAAAGATAGTGAATGCAGCAAAGTTGTCTTCAAAAGCACCTTCTTCYTTCAATGAAGTGTTGGGGGTGTGGGTTTTTTTTTTTTTTTCCCCCTCTCTTGGTATGATGAATTGAAGTGCGAATGTTACTTTCAGKTAAAAGTACTCTTTCTGTACATGTAATCCATAGCTAGAGACTTCTCCGTAGCAAAGTCACTGTCTAGAGAAATTTAAAAGAATAAAAATAAATACATTTTTAATAATATTGACTTATAAATGCTCCCTAATTGTATTTTTTAAAACATAAGAAGGTTATTATACTAAGGATTTGGTTAGTTAGTATTTAGGTTTTTTGTTTTCTACAAAGACACAAGTCATCTGAGAACAGTCATCTGTAGCTTATGAAGTACACTAGAAATTTGTATTCACAATGCAAATTGCCCACTTAATTCCTTTGGTCCCACAAGGGAAAGAGAAATTATTAGGATCCAGGCTACAAAATCTGGACAGAAAATTGCTGCTCAGGTAGCTGTCTAGCTTTCATTTGGTAAATATAAATAAATAATCATCTACAAATTACCATATGCTTTAACAAAATAATATTGGGGAGAAATCGTTTCTCTAAAGGGTTTTTGACTATATAATGTACCAGAAGAATCATTAATATTCCAATCTAAGACCAGCTAATTGCGTACTGCTGACAGGAATATACAGATTCCTTCAGGGGATCTAAGTTTTAATCCGATTGTATTAATCTTGCCTTGAAACAGCAGGAGTAATTTAAACGGTCTTTCTGTCTAGTTACGGAATAATCCATTTGGAAAATTGAATTGTGTAATTTGTAATTGTTTTCCAGGCTTGCTAATGCAAAACTGTGTTGGTAGCAAATTAAATGTTTAAAGTATGACCACTCTGCTAATCTCTGACTGTTAGACATTTATTTTAATGAATAGTATCATTTACTATGAATAAAATGTCTGGTGTGGGTCTTTAAAAGAATTAAAGTAACCTTTCAGGATGCTTGATGTCTTCATTGCAATGTTGTGTTTCGAGGCTCATGGCAAACCTGTGGGACATGGACATGACGTTTGGGCAGTGAGAGGGACCCAAGGATTGACGTGAAGCACAGGGTTGTGGCTCTGGAGCCAGCTTTGGCACCCAGGCGTCTTGAGGGGCTGTTTCTGGATTGAGTAAAAAGTGAATCTCGATCTGGTAATTCTTCTTGGCTTGCTTATTTATTTATTTTTCCCCTACTCCTTTTCCAGTGTTTGCATACTTCAACGCGTAATAGCAAATTGCAGAAGCCTAAGTGAGCTGAAATAGCAACAGCGACAGAAGTGATTCCTGCCTGTGGCCACACCATAGTCTTCAGTGCCTTATCAAAGGCAGAAGATGAAGTCTTTGAGATCCAAATACTGGATATTTGCAAGTCACAGAGAGTGGCAGTTGTGTAGATAAATATTCCATGTGTACTATACTGAAAGTGTGTACTGATATTTAAGAATTATATGTGATTCAAAAGGATTTGAGAGCTATTTTTTTGGTACACTCTTCATTGGCATTGTATTTCTTTTTTCTTGTAGCGAATACGCTGGCATTGAGATAGAAGAATCTTTGCCTGGGCATATCTGGTCAGGGTGAAGCTCTGCCTGCTTGTAATGTCAGTTGAGAAATTAATGCTTAATCCCTGTTCTTGTCCTGAGCTCTTACCATAGTAGTTCAGCAATGTATTATAGATTTTCATCTAGTGTAATGCGTCTCARTTATATAGTTTGTCACCTTAACAAAAAGGAGGCCTGAAAGTAAGAGAGAAATGTGCAAAGGAAAATGTCTTTAATWGCTAGACAAGATAACATTTTTCTATTATTTCACTGTTAAAAACTGCCTTAGGAGTGTATCCTTTGAGTTCTTCTTAGAATTAAATTTATAAACAGATTATTATATACTCTTATTTGTCCTAGATTAAGGAATTAAACCAAGCACAAAAACACTTAATTCCAAGACTTGGGCGGGAGGAGAACTGCTGCAAAAATGCAAGGAAAAAAACGGACTCTGAGATCCTTGCAGGTGCTCGGTGGTTGTTCTGAGCTCTTTCCAAGAGCGCAGGAGAGGGGCTTTTTGCAGCTTGCTGCTTCTGGTGTTAATTCAGCGCGTATGTGCCAGACACTCTGAACCATCTGTTGCATAAGTGCAAGCAACGGGAAGGCGATTTGGGCACACGGGATAATGACAGTATTTTGAGGCATCTTGCTGGGTGACARCAGGGCAAATAGCACGTGATCGCTGAACAGTTTTTCCCGCAGGAACACAGGTGTGCTGTTGAGCCTCGGCAACAGGAGCAATTTCTTTGCTAAAACTGGATCTTGCACAGAGGGACTTCATGTTTCTGCAATGTGGGCACTTTTTCAGACCACTTTTCTGKGTCCCCTCCTTTGTCCCCATATACAGCCCACAGGCGAGGGCTGTAACTGCCTTGAGCATTGTTAGCTATATGTTCCTGTCATATTCCCTTCCTTCCTGTCTTCGCTGTGTACCCAACCCGTGSACCTAGAGAAAAGCTGATCATTCTGAGCTCCACTTTTTGTAATGCTGGTGACTCTTGTGCTCTGCATCTTTATTCTGTGTTSCCATGTTGAGAGAGGGAGAGGTTTCTCCTGTAAAAATGAATTTTTTTTTTTTTTTTTGGTTGACATCTAAGCAAAGCAAAATAGACCATTGTAACAGATGAGATAAATAATCTGTTTTGTTTACTTCATAATGCGCTGTGGTTAGGAGGAGTACCCTAATAAAGAGTAAATGTAGGAGAARGCGTAATCAAATGAAAACAAATTTTCTGTTCAGGAGGGGAATATCTTTGGGATTTCAAGCATGAGCTGCACCTTATAAAATTGCTCTTGGGATACATTTCTCTGTCTTTAAGATTGCTGCAGGGAAGTATTTCATAGCTTTTTTGAGAAGAACTGATAATAAGAAAGAAAAAAATACTGCTGTTCCTAGCTCCAACAAGCCAGTTGTATAATTTTTGCCCATGTTTCTGCACTTGGGCATTTCAAAAGGGAAATGAAGAAGTTTTATGCTGTCTTGATGTCAAGTCACCCAACAACTATGATTCYTTTCTCCTTGAGTTTTGTGCAAATAACTAAATATCCACGGAAATGTGATTCAAACATAAGTTGTCCTCACTTACATGGAAAAAGAAGTGGGAAATATGTTGGGCTTTAGGATGGGGGAACTGAGCTCTGCGCTTGGTGTGAGCCAGGAGAGGCAGTTTGCTGAGCAGTGCAAACCTCTCCTGACCTCGTGTAAACCCTGCTGCGGTGCAGGATCCATCACTCTGGAGAACTGCTGTGTTTTTCAGCAGTAGCAGTGTTAAATGCTTGGCTTTGAGAAATGAGCTCTTTTGTTGGAACAAATCCTAGATGAATAATTCATTATCAAAATGTATGGCTGAATTCTGCTGCTGTTAACTTGAACTTGCTTAGGTACGTGCTTCATCATTGGTCTCAATTTCATTAACATGCAGTAAATGTAAATGTGTTCAGTATAAATGTCAGGGTAGCTGTGACCTGAATGAAAAAGTCTAACGCTTTTTTTTTCTTTTTTTTTTTTTTTTGAATAATTTTGTGGCACACGAGAAGAATGAGAGTTAAACTTGGCAGCTGGCCATTAGTGCTTGACCAGTCATGTGCTGAGTGTGGTGAGAATGTGTTACGACAGATTCCTCCTATTTAGCAAAGAGATTTTCAGTGCCTAGCGCTAGGGAATGTGCCTCTATCACAGGACCTCCTGGAAGAGTAAGAAATGTTCATGCAAACTTAAGCACAATTAGGAACGCTCAGTTTCTACATGTAAAATCTTGAACCTGGAGGCTATAAAACCCTGGTTTCTAAACTTGGCAGCTCTGGCAGAGGGCTTGTGTGTTCCCTGAGGGATGTTCCTTTCATTTTGGTACTTCCTTCTGTCTCCTACTGCAGATTGAGCTTCCAGACATGGGCTCTGCTGCTCATTTCCTTTATTATTATCATTTTTTTTAATGAGATTGCCCACTAATTGCTCATTGTCCCTTCAGTTCAGTGAGATTACGTTTTTGGTACCTTTGGATCTTGCTCCAAAGTCTCCATTCTAAAGGGAATGGGCAATAACATGTTTAGAAGAAAATGACTTAGGATGAAAAGCCTTGGAGATGAAATGTGTGTCCTGGTGAAAGCCAAGGTGCTCTGCAGGAATGCTGCTACTTTTGCCATGTTGATTACTCTTTGTAGTTTCTTAATTTGCCAGCTAACACAATTGCCGCATTCCTCTATTTAGAGTTAATACAGCTTGGTACAAGGCTGTTCCAAAAAGGCTGTGGTTGGTGCCACCAATGGGACCATAGGAATGAAGGTACCTGTTGGTTATTCACCTAATTATTAAAAAGAATCAAATAATAACATGTTTAAAGATGTTATTTATGGGCATGAGGGTGAAAAAAATGACACTAAAGTGATACAATGTGTCTGCAGTATGTATTTACTGAAGCTATATGTAAAATAAAATTCATGTTCAGGTTTTGGAAGGAAAGATATTTTTACAATGATTTTTATTGCCACCCAAGCAACAGAAGCCTGTCTAAAACCCTGAATTGATTTTGTGAAATTTCAAAGCATTTGGATATCTATTAAAAACCATAACTTTTTAGCCAGTGTTTTTATTAGATAAGTGGATCATTTTTGCAAATCTTCAACTTTTCATTAAAAATAGCTTAAAAAAGAGCGTGTAACAAAGGTGAAAAATTTCTTTTTTTTTTTTTTTTCCCTCATGTCAAAAACTGCATTACAACTTGCTTCTCCAAATGTGCGAATTTGTTAGAGGCATTTAACCTTTATTTGCTTCTGCAACATCATTTTTTTTTTCCAAATACTTTTACTTATTTTTCCAAGTATTTTTAATCTAGGTATTTCTGAACCGGTGCAAGCACTGATTCTTTTACCAGCCTCTGGGTTTAAATCCTCTTTGGATAGGTTACGCTGAAGGGATTGAACTGGAGGATGCGGCTGCTTTGTCACCCATAGTCTTCAAGTGGGTTGTCTCTTGTTTTAAGTACACGTTCTTGTACTCGCTTGCTCCCTGCAGTCTGCGCTTGGCATAATTATTTTCCCTCCTTCTGCAGGCAATAATGTATTTTTAAGACCCTAATCAGAACTCCAAATCATGTTTTTTCAGGTCACAGAGCTCAATAATGTGAAGAACATATTGCGACTGCCAAAAGGCACGAAGAAGCATGCTGTTGGGATTTATTTCAGTGATGACACATCCAAAACCTTTGCTTGTGAGTCAGGTGGGTAAAATGGCAAAGTACATGAGAAAACATGGGGGCATTAATTGTGAAATTATAAATGTATTATACCTACACACAGATTTTCTGGGCATTTATACAGAACTTGAGGCGGATGAGTGGTGCAAGGTGTTGCAGATGGAGTGTCTTGGAACACGAATTAATGACATTAGCCTTGGAGAACCTGACTTGTTGGCATCTGGAGTGGAAAGGGAGCAGAGTGGTAGGTACATAAAATGTTGACTTTTAAATGCTTATTGAGTGTATTATTTTGAAGTTTTTGAACTGTGATACTAAAACTAGAAGTAAGTTGGTGTAAAAAAAAAAAATTTTTTTTGAGGCACTTTTTTTAAAGCTATTTTCTTTGTTACAGTTGGAGATAAGTATAGTGTTCATACTATGGATTTTAGAAATATTTTGGAATAGCACTTTTTCTCTATCCTTGAGGATAGGGACTTTCTGTTGTGTGTTTTTGTTGTATGGGATATGCTACAACAGTTTCAGTCTGTGACTGAGGCTCTTRAGCAATATTGTAATGCAAATAATAAATAATAGTAATTGCATGCAAATCATGAGCCCAAGGCTACTTCACATTCCTATGCAAATAAATTAATTACATGCGCAAATGTGTTTGCAGTGTATTTATTCATGCACACAGTTTTATTAATTGCTTGCAAAGGTCAGGATTATGATGGTGCAATTCCTTTCCGTATCTCAATGCATGCACAAATCTTTTGAAGCCCTTCGTGTGTAGCAGTTTGACTGCCCCAGGCATTGAGTTAGTGGAAGGAGCTGAATGTTTGCTCTTGGATTAATGGTTCAAAGTGGAAATAAAATCTCATAATAGAGGTGAAAAATAGGAAATTCCTTTAATGATTTGTGCATTTAATGAGCAGGGATTTTAGACTAACCTTTTGTTTTTCTCCCAGAGAGATTCAATGTGTATTTGATGCCATCCCCTAATTTAGATGTGCATGGGGAATGTACCTTGCAGATAACATTTGAGAATATCTGTCTTTGGGACATCCAGAATCCCAGAATAAAACTCATCTCTTGGCCATTAAGTGCCCTCCGACGCTATGGACGGGACCCCTCTTGGTTCACATTTGAAGCAGGGAGGTAGGTGTGTTGCTACAGTACGTTGCTTTCCATGGTGGTGTTGGGTGCTGAGCATGGAGCAGATATTCCTCAGGCAGAGGCTACTCTGCACCCTTTATGAAAGTATAAAATAGTGAAAACAAATATAAAATGAAAGCAAATAAAGGGGRTAATCCCATGTTACAGCTTGTATTCAAGCAGGAGCCTGTGGGTGGATGAAAGGGGGAGAAGAGATGGAGTTATTGGGAGAACTTGTGTTCAAGAGGGGGCATTTAAATGTCCATCTTCCCTACAATTACAGGATTTACTTATTTGTGAAAAAAGTTTTGTTTCTGTGTCTATGTACACAGACACCACTTAAGTGATCACACATAAGTCATGATGATAAAACAACACAATTGTGAGTGCTAGAAAAGTCTGGAAATAGTGTAATTTTCAATGTGGAAGCAGGGTTCTGTTCTTGCTTTACATCCYCTCCCTCAGTATTAATATGTCCCTTGTAAACTCCAGTAAAGTTTTTTACTTTTGCTGAAATGGATGCTTTGCTGTACACCGATAAAACTAGAACAGTTTCCCACAAGTCCTAGAGGAAGCTTGTGCCAATTAACTARTATGGAAAATCAGTAGAACAACTTTCTCATTGCTCTTATGTACAAATTTCTGTGGTTTAATAAATTTTAACTTGGCCATTTAAAATACATGAAGGAAAGGAGTTATTTTTTCCCTTTCCAGTACTTCTACACAAGCACAACATACAGCTTCTTAAAGGTAGCTACTAGGGCTCGTTACAGGCAGTGTTTAAAAGCCTGCAAGGCGGAGAAGATAGAGCAGTTTGGCACATAGTCTAAATCTAATGAACAGTCTAAATCTAAACTTTGGGTCTTGAATGTATTCTCTCTAGAGTAAAAAGATTAGTGCCTCAGTTTGACAAAAGATGCACCAAGGTGGATTACAATAATAAGACTAGGCTGGAGTTGCAAGGACTGAGGTATAACGACTTGTAGATAACTTTGTTCTGTATTTCAACAACCTTTTATTGGCTTTTATTACTACCTGCATGATAGCGCTTCTGCAGCAGGGTCTTGAAACTGAGCTTTAAAGATCACCGTGAACAAGGGAAAAACTCACCTTTGGATGCTGTCTGTTCTCGCTTTGGCAGGATGTGTGACACAGGGGAAGGACTATTCATCTTTCAGACAAGAGAAGGGGAAGCAATCTATCAGAAGGTGCACGCGGCCGCTCTGGCCATAGCAGAGCAACACGAGCGCCTGCTGCAGAGTGTGAAAAATTCAATGGTACGGCTGCTAGCTACACTTGTTATCTTGCTCTTGKCACCAGAGAGCAATATATTTCTTCAATATAATTTTTACCTTTTGATTCAGAGATAGTAAGTGGTGTGATTTGTTTTTCTTATTCACTTGCTTCTGCTTGAATGTAGTATTCAGAGCCATATGTAGCTGGGATTTGCTTATCAAGATTCAAAAGAACAGGAGAAATATTATTTCCTTAGTCCTTTTTATTGTTTTGTTTTGTTTTTTCAAAACCTTCAGTAAGTATTAGATGATACAGAAGAGATCATCAGATCTTGTCAGAGCACATTTGCCATTCTCATTAGATTCCCTTAATTAATCAGCATCATGAGTCTGGAAGCATTTCTCATCAATTTATTTGCAAAATGTTGTGGCTAATGCTCAGTTTGCTGTTTGTTAATTGATGCTTATACTTCAAGGATGATTTGGAAAGAGTCATATGGTTCTAATTAAACTGTGAGTGGGGGAGAAACAAGATGTTTCTGCCCTCCCAGTGCATGTCTCCTTTCCACAGCACACGCTTCTTGTGTCTTACTCTTCTTTTGTGACCCTTGCAACTKTTAGCAAATGTAGGACTATAAGATGCAGAACTAGCATACAGATTGAAACAGTCTGGGATCTCCGGAACGAGGAAGGTATTTAGACGGCACCTATACCTAAATGGGTCAAGCTCTTTTAACTTACCTTTTTTTTTTTTTTTTCCTTTCATGAAAACTTTGAGGTGAAAAGGAGTATTTTGTTTGTCCTGTGGGACCACTCTGTGTTGTCATTCCTGTGAATCCTGGGATGGAGTTTGTATCCTGAGGATGGCAAACTTCCTAGAAGGTGTAAAATGTTCACAGTGAGCAGCTGTTCCAAGAGCCTGCCTGTGAACATTTCCATTCTGGGCAATAATAATAGGTTTATATAACTTGTGTAACAAGGCTTGTGTCGTATGTTCTTATTGTAAATGCAAGTTCTGCTCTTATCCTTTCAGTAATTCTTCTAACACGTTGGCTTCAGGGATAAGTTCTAATGATACATAATGCTGGAGGACGTAGAAGGCATAGAATAGAAAATGCCATTAATATTTTGGTAATTCAAAAGATGAGAATGGATGGAATGAATTAGTCCAATTGGAAGTAAATAAGAGGTGGAGGAGTGGTAGAAAGGAAAGTGTTTCCAGGTATCCAGAGCAGTTTTGTGGAACAAGGTAGTTCAGCTGAGCATCCAGACAAATGGGCAATTCYGTTGTAGCTTGTAGAACAGGTGGGATAACTGAAATGGCAAAATAGCTGCTCTTAAAAACGAAAACTCAAGTCTGCTTCTAGGTGCTGTGGTTCATGTATTTTTTTTTCTTTTCAACAAGAAAGACTAATGTGACTATATGCATTTCCAGTTTATCCTATGCTGCTAATCTCTAGCTACTGTTGTTGCTTCTGTGGGAGAGCTCTRTGGCTTTATAAGGCCGAATCACTAATTTTAGGTTAGTGTGAGGAATAAAACTCTGCTCTGGGTGCGTTTAGAACATGTAATTTTTTTCTAGGCATTTCCAGATTGGTTAGGAAGAGCCTGGCAGTTTGCTTGCTTTCTGTTTCTTTTCAAAAACCTTGGAACTAGCAAGTAAGCTCTGCAGCCAGGAGCATGGGTGTTTTTACCTTCTCAAGTAAAATACCATCTAATGCTACCAACAAAAAAATCTAATTAGTGAAGGCAATTTTTAATTAAAAGTAGTTAAAATATCTGATTTGAGGCAGATAATGTAGTTACTTATCAGCYTAATTTAATTACTGATTGTAAATAACCTAGTGTAGGTCATCAGCTCACAAAGAAAGAATATTTCTAGCYCATCAGTATTAGATGAGACTAGCTTGTTGAGGATAAACACTCGCAAATGAGACAAGAAACACCCACGAAAAAAAAACAACAGAAAACCAAACCCACAGAAACTAACAATAACAACAAAAAAAAGGCAGGAATTCATTACCAACGTTCTCCTGAAGTAAAAAGGCGTTTGGGCTACCTCRTCTCTGGTGTTTTCACATCCAAATGATAGTAACTTTACTTTGATGAATACTCTTTACAGATGAAATGCTGTAAAATTTCTGTCTTGTAGGTACTAATATGCTCAAGAGATGCACAGTTTCTGTTGATTTCTACAGAGAGCAGCTGTACAATTACTAAAAGCTTTGTCATGAACACCATGTCCAGGCATAACCCCTAAATCTCATTTTATAGGACATAGAGTGCTATGCTGGGGATAAGAAGGTATTCCYGTCTAACTGAAAGTCACATAATTTAGTAGTAAATATAATTGTTTCAGATGAGCCTATATATGAATATGGGTTTCCCCAGCCTGTTATAAAAATGTTTTGATTCTGAAATACTCGGCCAGACCTGGCCCTTTTTCTAGGGTACAAGGGTGTTCGGATTTAGAGCTGAATGATCTAAAGCAGAGGATCTTTGTATCAGTACAGAAATCAGATGCCTCATTTYGCTGATTGCAAAATATGTTGTAAGCTGCATTTTCATCATTCAGAGTGATTTATTTCCCTTGCATTTTTCTTCGGCTTGAGCACTGGAGTAAAAAGTTCGTTGTAGATACTTGTGATTCATGCTCCGTTGTCTGAGCTGCATCATGTTTTTGTCGCTTGAAATTTATTTATCCTGTGTGAGTTTCATGTTAGTGAAGCTTGAGCTATCATTTACAGAAAAGATAAATAAAAGGAGAAAGTAGGAGATGGAAAGCATAGAAAGAGCTGGCTCCACTTAGGCCTTTCTGATCATTCGGTAACACTAATCTTATTCAACTGCTTCCTCCTTTTCACTTTTGCACTGCCAGGCAATGCAATGGAAATAGCTATCCAAATTATAGACATGTGTTCATGAAACCCTGGTTATCTAGTTGTTATAAGAATCGATCGGCTGAGACTTGATTGTTGTGACTTATTTTATGTTGTTTTAAGCACCCTGTGGACCTCCTACTCCAATGACACTGATTCCCTGGGCTGGCTGCTGATCCATTCCCTCTCCCRTAGGTCACTCGGTGGTTTTGAGGGGTGGCTTCGTGTTGTGTTTTACTGTTTCTTTCCTTCTGCTATTTCTTTTATTTTGAGGACTTAATTTAATCCCTATCGAACAAGGAGGGAACCACAGTTCAGCCCTTTGGCAATCTAGACCTTCTCTTTTTTGAGCTTTCATCTCTTCCCCTTYTTCCAGGGGAGGTGGTGAGAGGCTGTGGATTAGTTATCTTCTTATTAGCAAATTACTTGTTATGGTAATGATACATGGAGTTGGATGTCCTCTCCTGTGCTCCACTTGCCTGTCTTTCAGACATCTTCCAGCATATCAATTCCAGCTGTTCCTGAGCTGCTTTTCAACACCAAGAGCCTAGGTAGAATAAAGCCAGGTCATTATCAAGTTATGTCTGTGTTCTTGGTTGCTATGGAGATACAGTATGTTAATTATGAGATGAAATCATCCATCGTTAGAACTTCCTGTGCACGTGGTCTGAGGTGTGGAGATGAAGTCCTTGTGTATTCAAGATGCAACATACTAATTCTTTTTGCTAGCTGTGGTTTTCAGATTGTTTTCCCCTCCCCTGGTTCGGTTCAGGAGGGGCAGTGTATGTCTGGGCCTCTTCTGTGTCTGTCTAATGTGCTTTTCCTAGCGGTTTCTCTCTTTCTCCCCAGATATGCTATTGCTTTTTGCTCTCCAATCAGCTGAACTGTCCCGCTCCCTTTGCTTACCATTCAGCTCACCATTATATGGAGCCACCAAAATACAATCTACGGTTGGAAAATGTCAGACTCACTCTGCTGATTTTTTTWAAAAAAATATTTTTCTATTTATTTTCTTTGTTTCCAGTAATAGTTCCTTAGTTGTTTGTTTCCATGGTGCTGAAATGTGTGGTAATATTGCAAGTCCTATTCAGGCTTTATCGAAGGAACTGTAATAAGTACATGGTACCATGTAGGTGGCAAGTTGCATTGTGCAGAGTGATTCACATCTTGCTGACTGGAGGTGGGTGTGTGAAGAGCAAGAGTTCGCRTGGTTTATTTATCTTTTTGTTTTGTCTTACTTCTGGATCACGGACACCATGTCCACAGTAGAGAGAGGAGGCTGAGAGGGGATGCTTGCATCTAAATAACTTTCCAATGGCTCTCTTCAAAGATAGCCCTTATCTCTGCCTCATCTCATGCTTGCTTGACCTTTTTATTTTCACTCTATCCTGAGAGTTCTGTAAGATTCAGGTTCTACAGAAGTAAAATGTAAAAAGCTTATTCTTTTATAAAAAGTTATTGCTATATATTTGAAAAATTAAATGCAAGGTTATGTTAACTTTTTTTTTCTTTGTTTATTTTGTGGGCAGCATTGTTTATTTGGTGGGTACCAGCACCTGGCGGTGTGTGCCCAGCATCCCAATCTCCACCCTAGTCACATCCTTGGAAGGTGGGCAGACAGGGCAGGGAGAAGACACCATGATTAGTGTGCTAGAAGTTCTTGCAGGCAAGTTCTTGCTGTTCTTGGAAAATTTACCACGAATACGACTGTCTCCTTCGCCTTGTTTTCTGGCTCTGCAGCTGCAGGTGAAAATGAGCGAGCGGGCCGTGTCCCTGAGTGCCATGGTGCCCTTGCCCCGCAGTGCCTAYTGGCAGCACATCACGCGGCAGCGCAGCACCGGCCAGCTGTACGGCCTCAAAGGTAGGCACGGGCCGCGGGACACGCTCGGTGTGTGCCTGGTGTCACAGTGCACACGCTGGCACTGCCGCGCGTACGTGATGGCTAGAGGCACGAGCTGGCACTGTCTCAACTCACTGGTGTGCAATAAGCAAGTTGCCAGTGGCTGTCTATGGTTGATGGAGGTGGGAGCACATCCCACCTCGGTGGGTGACTAGGAGATTCTCCTCTGGGCCCCCTGGAAGCATCAGCACCCTCTGCTTGTGGTGATCACCGAGGGACACGTTTCTGGGCACACAGCTGGGCACCTAACRGGGTGTGAGGTGGGGGACGGGGCACCGCTACCCAGCTCTGTGGGAGCACCCGCTGACCTCTTTCTGCTGAGGAGATGCCTGTTTGATTCAAAACAGGCGTCAAAAATGGGCTCTATATCTCCTGAAGCAAAGCAGCGGAAACAGCAGCACTGCCCAAGTGTTACCCTGTGCTTGACGCTGGCATCACCTGCGTCTGCCAATGCAGAGGAGCCAGAGGAGCAGGGGCTTGGTGCCTCCTGCCCTTATGTGACTGTCTTGTGCATGCTTTATCAGTTTTTTTTTTTTTTTTAAAGCCACTTTAAAAGATTCTGGGTTAGAAAAATGAGCATCACTCACTTTTCACTCGCACTTCCCCGCAACCCACTGCCTCTTATTCCCCTCTTATTTTTATGCTTCTCCCTTCACAGGGTAGGACTTCCTCAAAAAAAAAACACTTAGACATTTATTTTACCTTTTTAAATAAAGCTAGGGACAAGCCATCAGAATGTGAAGCATCATGAGTTATGATTTAAAAATTGAAACCAGTCCTGAGATATATAGATGTATTCTATAGTTATACCCTGCTTTTCAGCAACTTGCAAATAAAGCTAATCATATTTTTTTCCTTTTTTTGGACACTAGAGGGGGCAGGCAACACACAAAAAGCCCTATCTAAACCGTTTTGGAGCCTGGAAGAACAGGAGTAGTGACATACTTGTTTAATCCTGTTCAGTAAATTAGGGCATGGGAAGATGACCTGCTGGTGACAGCCTGTGACACACAAGAACAGGACTGCTAGCAACGCTCTGGCACGATCACTGTGCCTTACTATAGAGCCCTTTGTTTTAATATTGTTTTAATATTTCAGCCTTAAGCTGCTATAAGATGACTGCATTGTTGCAAAAGTGTAGGAATAGTTAGGAAAATAGCTTGCTTGGTAAATTGAAGATAAGGATTCTAGAACATTCTAACCACGAGCATGGGTGAAAGTCTTTCAAAAATGCTGACCTTCAAAAAATAAGCCCATACAGGCAGCATTGCAATTAGGAGACTGAAATTATTGCTGCTTTCAGCACAGTCAGGACTACTATTTCAGTGATATCCTGAGAGTTTCTAGTTACATTAGGTCACCAAAATCTCCAAATACTTTGATTATTCTTGGATAAGAGGAAGCAATCTGTATAAAGTAACTGCTATACTGAGCTGTATAATATATACTGTGTGTGTATCTATATTTTATATATGTAAAGAACGGGAAAGACTGCAGCATTTTACTCACTGACCACTATTCTAATTTTGTAGGTATGGAGTGTTTTCCATGTCAGTTAGAATTGATGGGATTTGAATTGGGGCTCTTTTCACTATCTTCTGCCAGGAAAATACCTGGGGCTAATGTGAGATAAAGGGTGGCTTTCATTTTAAATACCAAGTTGGAACTCCTAAAAATTAATTTTCTTGAAAAAATTCTTTGTTAAAGAGCTGTGAAAGAAAGCCTAAGTCTCCATATTATTTCTGAGATGGCAGCAGCTTGAGCAGATAGTGGATGTAATTAAAAGGCTGTAATCTGTAYTTCAGAGTTGCAATATGTAGTGTTTTTGTAGCGGACTGTACCTTAACTAGTGTTGTTCTTTTTTTGCATCTGACTTGGAGAAGACGTTTCTAGCCCAATGAAGCTTCATCGAACGGACACTTTTCCCACCTACAGATCAGAGCATCGATAAAAGACCATAAAGAACTTTACAAACTCTTTGTCTTCTGCCCCCATGGATAGCCGTGATGATGATAAGCAAGGATAGAAACATTGGAAAAATGCAGGTTGGATGAAAAATTCTTGCAATACAGATTTTTTTTTTTAAACCCTACTAAAAGGTAAATCTGTTCTGTAGATAATTAAAAAAAAAATAAAAAAAAATCAAGCAAACCCTCCAGTGTGTGTTTTGTATCTTACAGCTGTATGGAGAAGGAATTTCTCCCTAAATGTTCTAGATGTTTTTGTATAATATGTATGTTGTAAATACCCAACTTTGGTTTTATAGTAGTATGGCTCCACTGTGTCCATTACCGTTGCAGTTCTCTGTGAGCTCTGTAGGAGTGTCAAGCTTCATGTTTGTTTTATTTAGTTATAAATATAATGAGTCAGCCTAATCCTTGACCTTTGAAATGGTGGCCAATTTTAAGCAGTTTTTGGCTATGTTTTTTTTCTCCTGTTTGCAGCCTGATTAAGACTTGATAGATTTTTTTTCTTTCAAAAGCACACTCTATTTCCTGTATTTATTTCCAACTCTGCAATGTTTAAAATAAATTTTTTCCCACTTAAGTTGTAGTATTGCATTTACTATTGGGAAATAGGCATTCTTTCAGCTACGCTGTTGYGCAAGAGGGAAGATGGTGTGGGAAAACAAATGGTTTGCTTTGGGTCCTTCTTCTGCAACCAAAGGAATGCAACCTYTATTCAGGTATCTTAGTGCAATAAAGTAGCATATTTAACAGGAATCTGTCAATTCCACATACARTTTTATGGCAGAAAATAATTTGTTTTGCTTGACCTCATCCATGTTGCGTACTGCTTTTGTAGATTGATACCATACCGATATCCTAAGTGCTGAGGATTTCTCAAAAATAGTTTGAGTGCTATGCCAAATAGTGAGGAATTTATAACCACTATAGAAAAAACTCTGGAGTACTGCAAAAACACCTGAAGTATTGCATTTAGCTAAACATAGTTAAATCATTTTGTTAACAAGCTCTGGAGTACAAATGCCTTGTCAGGTTACAAGTCAGGCTGATTATCTCTAACAAATGTCTCCTGCTCACTTAGCAAGCTTCACTTAGCAAGCTTAAGGAGTGGATTTTGTTTTGATTGTCCCAGTAGGGAATTTGGTCTCTCTGCAGCTTTTTAATTGAGGAAAAGAAATATGGCATATAATTGTAATGACAATAGAATCTGTCTAGGAATGGAGAATGTTACAGCTAATTTGTCAGAAGATATCCTGAAGAAAAGAAAAAGAAGGTAACAGTGGCCTGCATGGGTTTGCAGAGAATAATTTTATTCAGCATATAGGAAACTTTTTTGTTATAGTCTTATGGTTTAAGTAGAAACAGCAGATGACCTGATTTTAAATCTGAATATAAAGTTTTATAGAACTTTGGGAAAGTATGTTGCTCATGAGCCTTCCAATGATTGTAAAATAAGTTTCAATGCTATAATTAGAAATTTTCAGGGACTCAAAAATATATCTCAGAATATATAATCAAAAATATATTTTGATTGTAGAGCTGCTGTTGGTGGTCATCTGTCAGAGGAGCAGCAGAGCTGGAGCGCCGTGCTGTTCTGTCTGGCTCCTTTGGGCGCATCACCTGGAGCAATAATACATACTTACTAAAATAATAATATAAGCAATATATATGCTTACTAATAATATGCCTATTAAAACTACCATCTGGACAAACTTGAGATCAGTTCAGTAGGGACAAGTGCATCTAGGTGAGACCCACCTCAGTGCATGACAGGGAGAAAGGCAAGAGAGCAGCCTGTCAGAAAGGGCTGTAGAGGTGTGCAAGTCGAATATKCATCGACAAGGTCACGTTGCTGCAAAACAAATACATGTCAAAAGGTATTTAGCTTTTTTAAAAAATGTGTCTAGCCTACAAGACAAATGAAGTTGGCAAGGTCTCAGCTGGAGTGCTGGATCTGGAGTGGTAGATCCCAAACTCAGCTACCTATAAATAGCTGTATAGTGTTACACTGCTGACACTTTCCGCATTTCTGGGGGTTTATTGTGTACTATAGAACCTGTTTATCTTCCTTTATTCAATATACTTTCCTTTTGTAGCTAAGGAACATGGAAGTTTCCAATTCAGTTCAGCTGGATGCTTTGTCAGTCTCCTGAAATAGTAAGATTTTTTKAAATGATTTTGGTTTAGTATCTGTCTGTGAGTTAGATAAACGTACGGTTATGCAAAACACTGGAAGGATGTAAAATGTAAGGTTTCTGCATCTAATAGAGTCAGGCTAACAGAACTGAAGGTGAGGGAAACTTCTCAAAAAGCAGAATGATTACGTATGGTGAAGGTAAAAGTAGTATTTGTTTCTGAAGGAGAAAAATCAATACACTATCCTTGTTTAAGATGCACTGTAGTGCTAAGATAAGCTTAATTTATAGCAAATAAGGATTATATTCACTTTATTTCAAAACCGAGTTGATAACATGAGTGATTGAAAAGCCATGTTATGACTAATAGGTCTTTATCTTTTAGGTTTACTTCTGCTAATGTGTTTGCTCTAGAGCTGACATCATCTACTGTTTTATCATGGCTATGACAGTTCAGTAAATGCTTTTATTCACCTTTTGCTCGAGTGATGATTGATATAGCATGACTTTGCCTGTGCTTGAGCAGTCCAATTATAAAGAAGAGAAAGACCACTCTAACCTTGGCCTTTAAATGAAGGAGCTTTAAATCAACCAGATTTGTTATTTTTCTTTCTAGTGAAACTCTCTGTGATGGGTGGCAAAAATAGCCTAAAAATTAAGGCCAGCAAAGTGTTGCTTTTTAATTTTTGGTGCCTATGGATATGACAATGAATATGACAAATGAAGTACTTTGCATTAGCACTGACTCCTTTAGTTGGCAAGAACATTGGCCAAGACAAGTGAAGGGATTTGCTGCTCACATAGCCACTGGGTTTATGGTGAGGGAAACTTTTCATTTTATTTGCAGGTCACTTTTTTAGATGGTACCACAGACGGCATATGTAAAATAGTGATAATGTGGTGATGCTTTTGTGCCTGCCAGTTGGGTGCTGCTGGTGTCTGGTGCTGAACTAAACTCTGAAAAGATATTCTTGAGAAAATATTCTGCAAGTCCGTTTGTGGAGCTGTGGGGCTTAAGGTTACTGTGCATGCAAGGATCAGTGGGTTGGTTTTTTTCCCCCCCCTCTCCATCTCTCTCTTTTTTTTTTTTTTTTTTTTTTTTTTTTTTTTTTCTCCCTCCAGCTTTTGCCATATACACAGGCCATTCACTTTAACAAGACTTTACAGTTTCTTGAACTTTTCCCGTGTGTAAAAGGGTGCTAACATTATTTTGGACTAGTCAACTACCCTTAGCAATTCTGTCACCCCTTTCTTATATGCTTTAACCTTCTTCTTTCTCAAATGAGCACGGATCTCTCTAGATAACTTTTTCAAAGGCACAAGGTGTTCTGCAAAGTCATCCACAGCGGCAGCTTTTTGGCTCAGTATCACCTCTGCCATTCAATGGCTKTAAGAAAAGCTGTGCTACTTATTGAGCTGCTGTTCCTCAAAGATCTGACAGAAATGTCATAGTCCGGGCTTTCATCCTACAAAAGCCCAATGACCAGTCTGCAAGTCATAATAGAGGAGAAGGAAGAAGATGTTTYAGAGGTAAAAGAAGTGGTCTGAAAATAAAGTGTAGGTGCTTACCCTGCTTCAAACCTGTGCTAAGAAAAGTATGTTTAACTATTGAACAGGCATGAGTGAGCCAACTAGGAGGAGCACAGTGGGTATATGGAGATGACTCCTAATTCAACAAACTTCTGAGAGTAATGATCTTAAAAGGCTAATCTTGGAACCAAGCCCATTAGGGAGAAAATGCCATAATGTCAAGACTTCAAATTTCATTTCTTTTTGTGGAAGTCTTATTACAGGTAACAATGCAAATGCCATTTTCTAAAACAGCATAGAGGGCAAGGTAATCATTGTGCGGCTATAAGAAATAGGATGGCTCGCAGGATGGCTCGCATGCTCTCCATTTTTATTTTATAGATAGTGACAAAGTCATTCAAGGACTTGCCAGAAGTTGTTCCAAGGCCTTTGCGCTGGATGAGAGGACAGCCTAGTCTGGTCGCCTCAAGCACCTCTCGTTCCTGCTCTGTTTATCCATCCGTTCTCAATAGTTACGGCTGTTGGTCTCCTGGAGTGTTTGGATGTTAAGAGAAGGTCCTCTGCTATTGGAAGAAGGCCCCATAGAAGCTGAGATCACTTCACCCTGAAGTGCCAAGATATAGTTGAGAGGCTCCATGGACAGTGACAAAACTCCTCGAGGGAGAAAAGAGAAGCAAAAATACAAACACTGAGCAGTGCAAGAGCAGTGAGGGAAACAGGGTCTGGGTCTCCAAGGCCTGGGCTGGCCCGTCAGAATTGAGGAAGGCCCCTTCAGTAATTTTTACTTCTCACTGAGAAAATTTAATTTATAGAGTAGATTTTTTCCATATTAATAATTTAAATATAAGGAACCTTGGGCAAAATAATAGTCAAGGTATTAAACTCAGGTGTTGGGAAGTGTAAATTGCTTCACGTCACTTGAGGAACAAGTTGCATAAAACATGTTAAAGGATATTGTAATTATGTCTTCTTGAGGCCATTTTTGGAAGTAGGTTTTCTGCATTTCGGAAAGTTCTCTGAGGATTAATGAGCTGTCTGTGTCCTGGGATAGGGTTGAGGTCTGGAGCTTTAAAAAAAAAATTTTTTTTTTTTTTTAAAAGCAAGTTTGAAGTATAAAGGAGAACTTTTATATTTTTGCCTATTTTATATTTATCTTTCATGTTTGGAAATGTTGTTAGTTGTAGTAATAATAAACATGTTWCTCATGTTTATTATTAAAAACATTAAGATTTAAGTTTGCTTTCTATTCTGGCACATAACAGCAGAATAGCATCATTAATTAATACTTAGATGAACTCCTCTTAAAGCTTGTGACTTGCAGCCACAATGCTGTTAATTTTAATAATCACACAAAAGAAATTAATGCAAAAAGTTTGGTATCAGAGCCCTATTGCTGAGCAATGCCGGAAAGGAGTAACAATTCTGCTGCCTCAGGCACTGACATCAGAGGTCAGTATGTGACATTTCTGTGTATTCATTAACTTTCACAAGGGCAGACTGATGTTTCATTTCTGTGAACACTAATGAACTGCTTTTTTATTTTTAGGAAATACTTTATCCCTACTGCTAGCCATATAGTGTTTAAAGAAAAACTATTTYCAACCAGAAGGCACCAATTAGAATTTTAGTATCAGCTGTATTGATTGCACTACACTTTTGCAGTAGATTTACAAATGCCAGCAAATAAACTTGACAGGTAATAGTGTGTATTGGCTTTCCTGTAGT